AGGAAGGAAGGAAGGAAGGAAGGAAGGAAGGAAGGAAGGAAGGAAGGAAGGAAGGAAGGAAGGAAGAGACAGAAGATAAGTGTTATCATTGATGTGGAAACACTGATAAAGATTTCAACCTGTGATGTAATTTTGTACCATTTTTCTGGGTTAGAAATATTAAGTGGCTGGTTTAACAGAAGGACATGAACACTGACTGGCATTTCTTGTTATTTGACTTTACTGTGTGACCTGGGCAAATCCCACAAGCTCTCTGTGCTCCCAACAAATGGGAGCACCTACATGTGGGAACAATCACTTCCCTTGCTGTACTCTGAGCTCTGTGGATACAAGCTGGGTTTGCATTGGGAATGCATTTTGTAAATTGATATTTCAACACACACTTTGTTTGGATCAGGGCCACTTTCTGCTGTTTCTTGGGTGTTTGGGGAGGAAGTTTCAAAGGTGGGAGGTTAAGAGAGAGGGAGATTAGGATTGAGAAAGAAGAAAGGAATGCACCAGGAACGCAGCCTGCCAATTTTCTGATTCTACTCTCAAAAACCAGTCTTAGAACCACCAAAATGGTCAAGAGTGAAGAGTGAGTTTTATAACACTTTTTTTATTTGTATAATCGATACATGATTTATCAAACTTTTACATTATGGCAAGAGGCAGAATAACTTACCAGTATTGGAGTCAAGAAAACCTGTGCCCAGGTATTACTTCTGACATATACCAAGCTATATGACTATGGGAAGCCATTTAACCTCTCTGTGACTCAGTTTCCTCATCTGTAAAATGAAGGGTAGGGGTGGAATTGATGGCTTTCAAGGTACTTGTTAGCTCTAAATCTATGATCTCTCATTTTCTGAAACTCTCAGTGCCCCAGGCAACTGTCTGAGGATATAAACTGCAGATGAGTAGCTATATTGTAGGAGAGATTGTACTCTATCAGCCTTCCTTCCCCTATCCTTCCCCCTCCCTCCAAAAAATATATCTACAATATATAGAATGTGTACATGTAAGTATGTATGTATGTATGTATGTATGTATGTATGTATATATAGTTACTATTGTAAGTAGATTGCATATATGCTGTATATATAATTACAATATATACTATACATACGTAATTATAATATATATACTACTTATATATGTATGTATATATGTGTGTATATCTATACATATATGTACATATACATGTGTGTGTGTGTATGTGTGTGTATAAAATAGTAACAAGGTGCTCTCTCCATGAGGCTGAGAATAGTATTCCAGGGTAAGATAAAATGAACCAACCATGAGAAAACATTACTATGTGAATGATGATAATCTCCCACACTTCAAGACACTGTGATTTAATAAATTATCAGCAATTTAACAAAACTCAGTTAACAACAATTTAATCAATAATCACCATTCCCTCCAGGCCTTAGTGAACAGTCTTCATGCATTTATAGAATCAGAGGTTTTAGAACAGAAAGGGGTGACAACCAAAATCTTACAAATAGAAAGTAGAAGAAGAGAGTAAGTAAAAGAATTCAAATCCTTGAATCCTGGAATTTGAATCCAAGACCTCTGCCTCCAAAACTAATGCTTTTTTGCACATTGCTCATTGCTTTGAGACAGCTTGGTAGTACAGTGGATATGCTGGGCCTGAAGTTAACAAGATTTATCTTACTGAGTTCATATCTGGCTTCAGACACTTACTAGCTGTGTGATCCTGGACAAGACACATAACTCTGTTTGCCTCAGTTTCCTCATCTGTAAAATGAACTGGAGAAGGAAATGACAAACCACTTCAGTATCTCTGCCAAGAAAACCCCAGATGGGGTCACTAAGAGTCAGATGATTAAAACGACTAAGGAACAATAACTTTGCTGGAAAGAAAGAAAGAAAGAAAGAAAGAAAGAAAGAAAGAAAGAAAGAAAGAAAGAAAGAAAGAAAGAAAGAAAGAAAGAAAGAAAGAAAGAAAGGAAGGAAGGAAGGAAGGAAGGAAGGAAGGAAGGAAGGAAGGAAGGAAGGAAGGAAGGAAGGAAGGAAGGAAGGAAGAAAGAAAGAAAATCATTGCCTTATGCCCAATCTTCTCATGATACACCTTTCATACTTAGCTACGTTAGTTCTCTGAGAGTCTCAGTCAATTTCCATGTTCATCTATTAAAATCTTTCCAGCTTGGTAGGACCTATAAAAATTCATCTTTTTGCTGGCCTGGGCTTTAAGAACATCCAGGTCATAATAAGTCACCAGAGGCAACTTAGGTGACAGATTAGAATAATGATCATATTAATAATTCTTTATATTATAATGGCTTTTTTTGGCTCAGGAATTTTTTCTAAATATGATCCCCTTTTTATTCCCACAGAGACTTGTGTGCTTATTAAGGTGGATATTATAATCCTCTTTTTGCTAATGAGGAAAATGAGGCAGAGTCAAATGATTTGCTCGAGCCCAGTGACTGTTGAGTTGCCAGGACTAGAAATAGTGTCCTAACTCCTAGTTGAATTTGTGTAAGGCAGGAATAATTAACCAGGGATCTGTGAACTTGTTTATACACACAAGTATGCATGTATATATACATATATACAAATACACATAAATACAGATGCACACACTCACATATATATGTACATATGTGTGTACATATAATATATATATAACTGAATTTCAGTATAATTGATTTCCTTTGTATACAGTCAATAAGTATTAACCAATTACTATGTGCCAGTATATTTTTAAGTAAAATATTGATAGGACACAATTTACATATGAAACCTTTATGAAATTGTACATACTTTTTGATTCAGCAATACCACTTCTAGATCTGTATCCCAAAGAGATAATAAAAATGGGGAAAGGACGCAAATATACAAAAATATTTATAGCAGCTCTTTTTGTAGTGGCAAAGAACTGGAAATTGAGGGGATGCCCATCAATTGGGGAATGGCTGAACAAGTTGTGGAATATGAATGTAATGGAATACTATTGTGCTATAAGAAATGATGAACAGGCTGACCAGAAAAATCTAGAAAGACTTGTATGGACTGATGCTGAGTGAAGTGAGCAGAACCAGTAGAACATTGTACACAATAACAGCTACATTGTGCAATGACTGACTTTGATAGACTTAGCTTTTCTCAGCAATGCAAGGATCTAAGACAACTTCAAAAGACTCATGATGGAAAATACTATCCATCCAGAGAAAAACTACTATGGAATCTGAATGCATATGGAAGCATACTATTTTCTCTCCTTTTCTTTTGTTGTTTTGTTTCATTTCTTCATTCTCATGTTTTCTCCCGTCAGTTCTAATTCTTCTTTACATCATGCCTAATGGGAAAATATGTTTAATATGAATGTATAAGTAGAGCTTATATCAGATTGCATGCCATCTTGGGAAGGGGAAAGGAGAGGGAGAGGGAGAAAATTTAAAACTCAAAATGTTATGGAAGTAAGTGTTGAAAACAAAAAATAAATTAATTAATTAATTAATTAATTAGTTTTTTAAAAAAAAGCTGTGAGGTCCTTCTGAATTTCCTTGATGGTTTTATTTTATTTTAAGTTTTTCAAGTAGTGTCAATCTTGCAACACCCATAGATAATTGGGAGTCACCTGGGGAGAATAATAGCTAGCAAGTAATAGGTTCATCTTAACTCACTTCCTTTCCTGAGCCCAGCCAGTCTCTCTCTTACAAGGTGCCATGGGCCTCTCCTCTCACCTAACCAATCCCGAGGACCAAAGGTATTTGAGAGGACATCAACCTGTGTGGAACTTGTTCAGCTGAATCCCTTTATTCATGAGAAGAGCACTTAATTCCTCCCCAAAATGGATGTCTGACTACTCTTAATTTTTTCCTTTAAAATAAGACATAGAGAAGGAAGCAGCCCTAAAGTATTTGGTTTGGAATCAGGAATCCTTACTTTGGGTCCTGGTTCCCCCTTACTAACTATGTAAATCTGGGTAAGTCACTTCAAGTGTCTGGCCTCAGTTTACTCATTGGAAGAAATGGTTCTAATAAAACTTACTCTTCCTACTTCACAGTGGTGAGGGCGAATGATAGGAAAATTGCAAAGGTCTTTGTAATAGTAAAGACCGCTGTAAATTAGAGTTGTTCCTCTTGTTATTGTCACACAAAGTCAGCTTCTAAAACCTCATCACTGTATCCAAATAACAAGGCTCAGCAGACAGAGTGCTAGGTTCTAAGTCATGGAGGCTTGAGTTCAAATCCAGTTGAACATATTTACTAATTCAGTGTCCCTGGTCAAGTCACTTCATTCCCTCGGCCTCAAGTTTCAGCTGTAAAATGGGGGGGGGGACTCACTGGCCCCTAAAGTCCCCTCCAGTTCTCAGTTTATGATTTTGTGAATCTTAACAGTGGGTTCTCACAGTCAATGCAGGTGTAGCCTTACCTCTGTTAAGTCCCTCCATATTGGAAAGGCTTTGGGGATGGGCCAAGTGATGGAACATCACTGATATTTGTCTTTTATTTGAAGACAAGCCTAGCTAAGCATAAGGAGTCTCAGCAGCAGAAGCCTTGGCCACCAGGAAATGGACGTCATTTAGCAACAGCAGCTCTTTAAATCATTTACTAAACTAGAGAGATTTTAATCTGCTTTGGTGAAGGGGGCACCCATACCTGATGAAACTGCAGATCACTTAAGTATTGAAGTAGGTGTGTTATCATTATTATCAACTTCATGGATAGCATGGTAGAGTGGAGAGGGCACTGGGGCTAAGGTCAAGAAACACTTGGGTTCAAATACTGCCTCTGATACTTACTAGCTGTGTGACCATGGACAAGTTATTGAAACTCCCTCAGCCTCACTTTCACCATCTGTAAAATGGTGATGATACCTGTAGTATTTACCTCATAATCTTTTTTGAGGTTGAAATGAGTTTGCTATGCAGATATCACAAATCTATGTAAATATCATTGATGGCTTTTTTCTAGTAATTACCAGGTTTGGTATGGCAGCATGATCTTACACAAAAGTTAAATCTTTTCTTTTACTTTTCTTTCAAGCCTGACTGCCATCTTCATCTTCACCTCCGATGGGCAGACAATCCGTATGTGTCAGGGACTGTGCATACTAAGGACACTGCACCTGGTCTGATCATGGGAGCAGGTGAGTAACTGAAGGGTCCTTCCCTTCTCCTCTTCCTTCTTCTCTACCACCTTTTTCTTTCATCTCTCTTTCCCTCCTTCCTTCTTTCTCTCTCTCTCTCTCTCTCTCTCTCCTCTCTCTCTCTCTCTCTCTCTCTCTCTCTCTCTCTCTCTCTCTCTCTCTCTCTCTCTCTCTCTCTCTCTCCCTCTCCCTCTCTCCCTCCATTTTTGGCGGATAAAACAGAAGGGACAGCATGACTGGACACTAGATCTTCTCATAGAATTTGTCACCAGGATTAGCTGAGAAATTGCCAGTCAGAGATTGCAATTGCCAGTGGAGAAACCTGGAGGCAAGGAGTCAGCCAGCAAATAAGAAGCCTTCAGCTTTAAGCTTGATTCACTGAGGTGCTTTTGGATGCTAGAATAAGGATTAATATCTTTCCCTCAGTGGTCAGGAAATGAGATTCTCTACTGCAAGTTCAATAAAAAACAAGCAATGGATATATCAATAAGGAAGGAACAAGGCACAAAATATGCAAGGGGGAAAAAAGAAATGGAACGATAACAATTGCTGACATCTTTATGTTATTTCAAAGCTTCCGAATGTCATCCTCACAATGACCCTATGAGGCAGGTAATGTGAGAATGAGATCCCCACTTTATAGAGGAGGAAGCTAAAGTTCTGAGATGGCCACTAGGTGGCATACTGAATTGATTGGAACTGGTGGCAAGAAAACTTGAGTTCAAATGCTACTTCAGACACATACTACCTGTGTGACCCTGGGCAAGTCACTTAACCTCTGTTTGCCTCAGTTTTGTCACTTGTAAAATGGAAATAATAATAGTATTGACCTCTCAGAGTTCTGAGAGTCAAGTGAAATAACATATATAAGCACTTTGCAAACCTTAAAGTGCTATACAGAAATCTATTGTTGTTATTGTTGTTAATAGTAATAATAAAAACTCACAGTCATGAAACTCAGAAGTGTCAAGAGTTGGAATTTAAACTCAGATCTCCTGACCCCAAATCTAGCACTCTCTCTACTGCCTAATAATAAGAATAAGAATAAGATATATGCAAAGCTTAGAATAAGATTTATTTTAGGTGTAATAGCTGAAGGAGTAAAATGGAAAGCCAGAAAGGTATATCTTTAAATAATTGCTGTGTGACTTTGAGTAAGTCTGAACACCTTCCTAGGACTCACCTTCATTATCTATAAAATTAGAATTTTGGACTCTGATCTTGGAGTCCTCTTTTCAGTCTTAAAGTCTATGGTCTGTCCTTTTCCCTGCTGAATCTCTACTCATCCCTTAAACCCAGTTTAAGATGCTCCCCCTTAGAGCATACAGAACACTTGATTATGTATCACTTTAATGCATTACTCAATAATATTGTGTATATCAGCTGTTTGAGTATGTACCAGATCCCCCTCCTAGAATGTTACCTCCATGAAGACAGGGACTGCCTTATCTCAATTTTTTCTCCTCTCTAGCACCTAGCATATGGTACCCTCCACATAGTAGGTGCTTATGAAACATTTGTTGAGTTTGGTTAATTTGCTTCTAAATTCTCTTGCAGCTCAAATATGTTATGATTCTGTGGTTGTTTATAATGCCTTGAGCTATTTCAGGGAACTGTAAATACCAAACATCTTATAAAACAATCCATAATTACCATGGTGACTTCTCTCTATTGCCAATTATTATGGAGCACAAATGTGCCCGAAGTGCCTTACATTTAAGGGATAGGCTTTCCTCTACTTTCTTATAAAGGCTATGTACTCCTGGTATTGTGCCTAAAATTCTCTTACTTCTTCTATAGTCATACCCTGTACAGCATTGTCTCCATGATGCTTGGGACAGTATCATTAATATAGTCCTTATATGTAGAAGCCTAGAACTGGAAGTCAACTTAGAGATCATTGCATCCAAACCCATCCGAAATGACCTTTGTTTGCTTAGAGTTCCAAAGAAACGCACACAGGTTGACATAGATGTTTAGAACTGGGAAGGTGCCTAGAAGATGGACTGTCAGAACTTAGAATATTCAGTAGAATATCAGAGCTGGAAGCGGTCTTACAACATAGAACTTAAAATGCTATAGCCCAAAGAGATCTTAAGATATACAGTGTTGTAGCTGGAAGGAACTTCAGGAAATAAAGTGTCAAAGATAGAAAAGTCTTTAACAATAATAAATAATAAGCATAGCTAGCATTTATATAACGCCTGCTATATGCCACACGCTAAGCTAAGCAAGCACTTTTCAAATGTTATCTAATTTGATTGTCACAAAACCTTGGGAGATAAGGGCTGTTATTATCTCCATTTTTACAGTTGAGGAAACTGAAGCAAACAGAAGTTAAGTGACATACCCAAAATCACACAGGGACAGCTAGGTGGCGTAGTGGATAAAGCACCAGGCATGGAGTCAGGAAGACCTAAGTTCAAATCTGGTCTCAGAAATTGATTAGCTGTGTGATCCTGGGCAAATCACTTAATTCTGTTTGCCTCAGTTTCCTCATCTGTATTTTTGCCAAGAAAACTCCAAGCAGGGTCATGAAGAGTCAGAAACCATTGAACCACAACAACGACAATCAGAGTCATACAGATAATAAGTGTCTGAGGCCAAATTTGAAATCAGGTCTTCCTGACTCCAAGCCCAACACTCTGTCCACTGTACCACCTAGCTGCCCCATGGAACACGGAACATAGAACATCAGAACTGAAAGAGGATTGAGGATCATAGGATTACAGATTTTAAGTTGGGGAGCTTCAAGGTCATCTAGTTCCTCTCTGTCTTATTTTAGAGATGAAGAATCCCAGAAAAGAAAAGAAACTCTTCCCAAGATAACAAGTTCCACAGTTTGCAGGCCAGTGTCCTCCCTGTTATATCATAGTACACTGAGTCCCTCTTTAAACACAAAGGAGAATGAGTCATTGGTTCGTCTATGCTGAGGAATCGTGACAGCTCATGAACAAGGGGAATGCCAATAGAAATGTGGGTAAATGAGAGTTTTAAACTCTCAGCAGTCATTCTTAAAGAGCCAAGGGACCCCATGACCTATTCAAATGCTTTTATCTTCATATCTAAGGAAACAGTGCTTTGTAACCACTTGGAAATATAAGAGCAATCTGATAATGTAAGGTCCTGTAATCCTGGCCCCAGATATTGGCTGAGCCACACATCACAACCTAGGACTGGGTCACCTCCATGACCTAGGATACCTAGTGTCTCTATGTTAGGGTCATAATGATGCCCTTCACCCACCTAACTCACAGACATGGAAGAATTACACTGATAATCACAAAAAAGCTTGTGATTCTGATGTAATGCAGAAATTTGGAATCTACTGAATTCTATCAGTGAAAATGCCCATCTCCAACTGGCATTCAAGGTCCTCTTTGATCTGAGGGCCTGCTATTCCAGTGTGAAGAGATATTGTGATAGAGAGGAAAGAATGTCCACTACTTGTGTCATGGAGTACATGAAGAAATGCAAAACCTAGTTCTGTTCTCAAGACAATATGATATAGTGGATAGCACATAGGCCTGTGCTGTGGTGACTTTGGTTCAACTCTTGTGTCTGTTCTTTCTATTGGTATAAACATGATTGAGTCAATTGTAATCTTTGAGCCTCAGTTTCCTCATCCATAAAGTGAAAGTAATGAGATTTGTATTACCCACATCACAGGAAATTGAGGGTTAGGAAAGTGATGGGGCTTGTCCAAAGTCATACCTCTGAGTCAGAATTCAAACCCAAGACTTCTGATTTCTAAGACCAATAGTATTTCCTACCCTGAAACATGGTGCCTTGAAAAATAAGCATTAGGTCTTATATTGTATCTTCCACAATATCCTACATGCAGTAGGCATTCTATAATACCTGTTAATTGATTAATTGGCATTGGCAAATGACTGCTGGTCAAAGCATAGGTCCAGACCAGTGATTTCATTAGTGCAGAAAACTGCTTGGTGAGGAAACTCTCTAGCATTTTTTTTTCTGTAACTCTTGTTCTTATAGAGTTGCCTAGAGCACTGAAAGGTTAATCTTTTCCTGAATCTGTAGAGTAGGAAGGATTCTTTGAAATTACATAGCCTATCTCTAGAGCAGGGGGAAGGGGGAATGAAAGCGGGAAAAAAGGGGAAAAAAAGAATTTTACATGATAACTTTATTACATATTTAAAAGAAACAGCAAGTTGTACATAATAGATTTGCAGTTTCATGTACAATCATCTTTTTTTTTTAAATTATACTATGTTATGGAAATGTTTGTTTTATTCCATAAATTTAAAATAAAATTTTAAAAAGAGAAAATAAATCATATAGCCCAAACCCTTCCTTTTATAAGTGTGGAAACTGAGTCTCAGAGACAGGAAACCACTCAGCAAGCAATCAAAGTACTAATGACAACACTTTAAGCTTCATCAACAAGCAGACGCATATGTTAAGTATAACCACAGAGTATATTAAATATTACCACAGACCTCTGAATTTTCCCAACTCTATATAAAAAGTGCTACATTTTAGACAGAACTCATTTTGCCTCAGGACTAAAGGATCCTGAATTTTAAGTATTTTGAATGGTGAGCTAATGTGGAAATTACAAATAGTCAATCAAAACACCAAAGTAAGATTTGAATATTTCCATTACTTGAAGCCCAAGTGTTTGAAATCATGAAAAGACCATTTCAGCCATCCCAGAGCACAATAATAATCTTTGACAATCATCATTTAATTTGTGCAGAAATAAAAACCTTGTTAATCATTCTCAACCAAGAACTCCTTTCCAAATAGTCCACTACCCTCCTCAAAGGCCCACAATAAGATTCTGCCTTCACATTTACTTCTGCTACATTTTAACATTTACAGAAAGCTTTATCCTTCTATGAGCAGAATCATGTGATGTAGATCAATTTGATATGTAAATTTGTTTTGTTTTCATAGCCCAACCTTTGAAGGGCTTTTCTCTGAAAATATTCAAAGGTAGAAGGCAGTCTGGTGTAGTGGGCAGAACACTGGGT